GTGCGAACTTTCCACAAATTATAAACGCACAGCATCCTCTTGGAGAGCTCCCTGCTGATACGAGAGAGCGTGGCATCAGCTGGATGGATCTCTGGCGGGAATCTCATCCGATACCGAACCCAGAAGTTGGATTTGACATCACGCAACTCTGTGTCAGCCAACATGGTATCAAGATCGCTGACACTGATCTTGGACCTATCCTGGTCCTGGTTCTTGTAGTACAGGGTCACGGCAGTCCAAGCTCTGCGCAACCTGGAGCCCTGAATCAACCTATCGTCACCGAGTTGCAACTTGGCCAAGAACGTGTCGACTTTCGACTCATCCTCAAAGAGGAACCGAAACTCCTCCAAGTTCTGAATCTTGGTGGCCAACAACGCCTTGGTCACAACGGGGTCCAACGAAAAATTCAGCCCTAAAGACTCCATGGTTTCCTGAATGCTGGTACTCTCCACCGGAACCAATCGAACACTAGTCATTTTCTCAAGGTAACTCCTTGTATGACTTGAACATTCAAAGCTGCTCACCCCTGAACATGCCTCCCGCATGCTGCACATCACCTGCCATCCAGGGACAGAAGGAGGTGACGGGGGGGGTAAGACAAGAACCCCCCTGTTCCTCAGGGGTACGACAGACTGTCTCCTAGTCTCTATCCCCGGCACACATCATGTAGCTTGTCCTCACAGATACCTGTGTAAGCCACCTCATGACATACCGGTAAGACTAGTTATCACAGCCTATCATGACTTCATCCTCCCGGATGTTGATAGGGCCTTTTTCCACGCAGAAGTCAAGCTCTCAAATGGTTCAAATGCATGTTGGCCTACGGGCAAGCTATGGACCACGTTGATCAGCTTACCAAAATCGGCCCTGTGCGACTCTTATTCAAATGAATTCTGGTGCGCCACTCCTGACAAGGTCAGCGTGGATGCCAGCTCGCTGCTGCTCGCACCAAACAACCGTCACAAAAAGCGCGGCCCCAAGCCATAGCCTCCCTCATGTCCTGCGTCGTCATTGGCTTCACCAAGCGGATTGCACGCTCAGCAGATTGCTTGTGGGAGCAGAGGGTCTGGCCATTGTTAAGCTCCAGATGAACCTTTGACCGCAGTGTCGCAATGTAGCCGCAGGGCTCTGGGAACGGGTTCCTGAGGGAGCTGGTCCTGAGAGTCGTGTCAACCCACGACCTCATACCCGATTCATTGATGATCCCCGGAATGTCCAACGAGCGCCTGCAGCTCTTCACGTAGGCCACTGCAACATCCCAGCTCTCCTGGGCTAGCAGCGCCCGGAACACACAGCCCCCAACACCTGCTCGGTGGCGCCCTGATAGGCAGTGGATCAAGGCCGACTCACCTGCATACATCGTATTGCGCAGCAAAGGCCAGACTTCTTCGAAGTCCCTGTTCCTCGAACCACCATGGGCCACACACAGGTGTTTCAATAGGGCATCTGTGAGCACCACTCCTCCTCTGGATGATGGGGCTTCGGCCATGCACGCAATCTGAAGGGTAACTCCCTTTGGAAAGCGGTTTGCCGTGTTCCTGGTTGGAATTCCACTCAGCCACAGCTTGCCCCCTGCCCTATTCTGATAAATAAGGCTCGGGCTCTCCGCTGTCTTGCCGTGGATTGTCGCCAACCTGTCGAACTTCTGGTCGGGCCCTCGAGTATCCAGTGCCTCTGGAATCGGAAGGTCCTCCTCCTCAACTTCGACTTCTTCTTCTTCCGAACTGGTCACCAGGGCTGGTAATGGCGCCGGAGGTGGAGCTGGGGCTGCTTTGGCCTTCTTCGCTGGCGGTGCCTTAGACGGCGGCCCTTGTGGGGACCGTGGGCGCCTCACTGACGCCTTAGGAGGGGCAGCTGGCTCCGGAGGTCGCTCCTCCGTGGATTTGCTAGTAGGCTTGGCCTTAGCAGATCCCGAACCAGGCCCTTCGCCAGTCATCTCCTCCACCTTGATGAACTTCTTGTCGTGGCATTCACATGCCGGATGGCCTCCACCGCAAACTCGTCCAGCTTTGCGCAGAATGGCGCATGCATGGCGACCAGGGCACGCTTCCTTCTCCAAGGGGCAAGACCTTGTCTGAAAAGCTCCACAAATGGGTGCCCCATTCTTCATGAATGCGCTCAGCACCTTCCCATTGAGAGATGCCGGCATCGCAGACAGGCCACCCTTGGATTGTGCCTCTTCTCGTTTGGCCGCGGCCTTGAGCTTGAGCGCCTCCGACAGCTGGAAGCGCGCCTGCATCTCAGCCTTCGTCAAAGGAGCTGCCCAAATGACCCTGGATTCCTGCTTCAGCACCTTGTCCACGTTCTGGCGCGCATACTCCAGGGCCTCAGCATAGGTCTCCGTTGGGATGGTCTCCCATGACTCATGGGCAAGCAGCTTCTCCATAGCCAGCCGCACAATGTGTTTGGTCCTCAATGAAGACTCATACCTGGCTGCACTGTAGTGCATAGGCATCGTCGCCTCCTTTGGGATCTGGGAACGATCTGCCCAGTCCCCCAATGAGCATAGCTCGAGAGGCGTCAGCTTCATCAAAGTGCCCACTGTAGGTGCTGCTCGCCGCCAGGAGTAGGAAGACAAATCCTCTGTATTCTGGACTAAGTGCTCAAAGACCTCACGATTGAGCTCGTTGACGAACTTCAAGGTGTATGCGGTGCCCTCCGCATCAAAGCATAACCCTGAGGCTGCTTGCTTAGCCTTATCCAGACTGCTGTAGTCCCTGAATAGGGCCGAGCCCCAAGCCCATCCGTTGACGAATGTGGCCGGAATGCTGAAGGAGAACCCGCCCCTGTTGGCCTTCTGCTTCCCCTTCGTGCAGTAGCCATGAAATGAGCTAGGGGTCACTTTGACTGGCCTGGCACGCATGATGTGCTGGTATCGCAGGACACCAAAGGTAACCAGCCAGCTGGACAGTAAGCCCCTCCAACGCGGGTCCCCTGCTTCGTACAACGATTGAATCTTCTCTTCAAGCGCTGCAATCATTGGGGGCTCAACTGCAACAGCCTGTTCTGGGTTTGCCTGTTTGGGTGGATTCTTACGAGCTGGAACTGGTACATCACTGAAGTCCCATTGCAACCGGCCATGTTTGGAGAACCACTTCAAGGAATGAAAGGCTCGGTAAGGCCCCGACGTGCCATTCTGCAAGAAGCCATAGAGGTCCAATGCATCCGGTGGGAACAAGCGGTCCTTCTGCTCCATGTAGGCCCGCAACTCAGCCCAAGACTTCAGGGCATTCACCACCGTCGCTCCTTCGGCCTCTGTGACCTTCCGCTTAGACAAAGTATCCAGAGCGTCCTGCCACTGAGCGTACCTCTCCGGGGTCAACTCCCCTTGAGGACGCATGACCTTGGCCTGAGAAAAGGCCTTCCTCAGTGCCGCAGCTCGCAGCAGCACCGTCTCTGGTTGATCTGGGCCTGGCCGGACTCGAAGAGCTTGGACCATCTTGCTCTTCTTCATCATGGATGCCTTGGGCGCAGGCCATGTCATTGGCCGATCTCTGGAGCCCGAGCTCTCAGCCACAGCAGCCGCTTGAGGGATGAGGTCAGCTTCGGCAGTCTTGGATCGCGCTTGCAACCACGCATCTGCCACATGGTGTCCTCCATGTGCCACTGCGCTGTCATAGGATGCAAACGCATATGCGAAGTCAGTCTCATCATGTAGTCCCCATTGAGCTCGCCACTGTTCAACACGAGTGGATGCCACCCTCTCCATCGCCGTCTCTGCACAAGGTGGAGCCTCGCCAGCAGCTTGCACCGCGTAGGCACCTGGGTGGTACGCCATGGCGACGCCTGACACCACCGCCGCCAAGGTTTGGAGCGTACGGGCTGGGCCTGAAACTGCAGACCAAACCTCAGTGTCATCAGGCAACAAACAAACATCACTAGGCCGCAGCTGCTGCAGATGGGTCTCGACGCAAGACGGGGTGACATCCTGGACACTGGGAGGGTGGACAGGTACTGCACACGGAGGAGAAGCATCGCTCACAGAGCTCAGGTGTCGGCAGTCCACAAGCCCTGCAAGGTGGCAAGGGTTCCTCCCCAGCCTCCATGGCACCAAGCCAGCCCCATAACGACCGGACTGCTCTGGCCCGTGGTGCCCTCCACGCAACCAGGTCAGCCGGGATGGGCACCAAGGATGGGTCCCTCCATCGACGCTGTGGGGATTGCCAGGTCCTCCACACATCCCACAGTTCGGTGAGGTCGACCATGCTATCGGCATTGTGCTCGAGTCCGGCGCAAAGTCCCGAGACGTCCAAGAAGTCCGCAGCGGCTCGATGAGTAGCAAATCCAGCCTCGCCTCGCCCAGGCGATCATAGTAGGATTGCCACGCAAGCCGCGGGTCACTCCCGGGCAGAGCCAAGACAGCTGAGCTGTTCCATGTGCCGATCCAAGGGAACTTGAATCCTCCCTGATACTCAGTACACCTCCTACAGTTTTCTTCCATACAAGGTGACCGTCTGAAAGGGGGAAGTCCCTGCACCCCCAACCCAAGTGGATGTGGGGGGAAATGATCAATTTGGCACACAGAAGCCCACAACCGGGTGGCCTCTGCCACCAAGCCCTGCTGGAGTAGGCTCTCCACGTGCGTCTTGAACTCGTAGTAGGCAGCCGCATGAAGCAGCTCCACATCCGTGTGGGCAGCCTCATTCCAACCGGGCCGAACGACGATGGAGGCCCTTGGCATCGAGGGGGGTGACCTCCCACCTTCGTAACCTCTGTACTCTAGGGTAACGCCCTAGTAGAGGAACGAGAAACCACTGAACCTAGGGTAACTCCCTAGAAGTGGTGTGGGTACCCCAGCAAAAGAAAGAACGATGAAGCCAGTTTGGCTCAGACTTGAGCCAAAATGGATTCATCAGCTTACATACTCACCCTAATGATAATGCACACCCAGTGCCTGCCAAACACGATGCATACATATACTGTATATATACTGTATATATACTGTATATATAGCTGGATCCCCATGAAACATCGATATCTTCCCCGATCTGCCAAGGCGCCTGCGTCACTGCTCGCCATGGAGCCAAGCCGGTACCCATGCCGGCCATGATCACGGGTTTGGTGGCCTCCTTTAAATAAATGGCTAAAAAAAATATTAAAAACATGGTGAAGGACAGATTTGGAGGTGAGAACTTCTTCGGAGATATGTGTTTTTTTTTCGAAAGTGGCAGAAAGCGAAAACCATCAAGAAAATGGAGGAGATGATATCATATTAGAAGAACGTATCTGAATATACAATCATAAGAAAATAGTGGAAACTCATCCAGCAAAAGACCTATAATATGGAGTTTTAGATTCTGAGCATTGGCAGAACCCATCTTTTTCAAAGAAATCCGATTAAATCTTCGCTTTTGAGCACCACGGTCCCCTCCTTCGGCAGTACGATGGCGCTCTGCCGCACTGCACACATCATGGTGGTGCCTGGTTTCTGCTGTCGCATGTAGCCTGCGATGCTCAACTGAGCACGGGCAAGTGCAGCATAGCACTCCACCACAAAATAATGCAAATGACACGCATTGCTGCATACATAGTGTATCATAGTGTATAATATAATTACACAGTATACGTATACGTACTACGTACGATATTTCATTTACATTCATTTACCATATGTAGACATGCGATTTTCCAAAAAAAAATCAAGCGCCTGTGGCTTCTCCCAATCGCAACTCTTGGGTACTCTCCACAGTCCAGTCCACCAGCACCACGCAGAGCTGGATCTTGTCGGGATGCATCAAGTGGCTGCTGGCAATGGAATAACCTCAGCAGCGGGAATCTTCAAGGAGATTGTCCCAGCTAAGCTGGGGAGAAGTTTTGGAAATATCCCAAGAAATTCTGGATCTTGTGCTGGAGATCACCAGCGAATTGCACCGAAAACTTGAAACTTGAGGCCGGGAAAGACATGCAATTTGGACAACTTGGAACTTGAAAGTTGAAAGTAAAGCCACAGGCCACAGGCTGCAGGCCACTGGTGTTTCTGTGGTTGATCACAAGAACTACAAAATATGCCAATCTCCAGCAACTAGGTATATTCTGTTTTAGACACACCTGACTAGTGATTTGATCTTCGCCTTACCACATGAGTGGCCGCAGCCCACCACTCAGCCCAGAACTTCGAGGCTTCAGCACTGGAATCATGTTCAGCAGCTGCTCAATGGGAGGTCGTGCACTCTTGAACCTGGGAAAATCATGGAAAATCGGCAGATCCAAATTGATCACATCGAAGATTCTGAGGCTGCCATGGGCCCCTGGGCATCCCCGAATGAGTGCCCAAAGCCTGGGAAATATCTCATCCTTCGTTACCCCAAATGTCAATCCAGTCGTCCAGTGCCCACTGGGGAGAACGTATCTGTCTAGAGCCTTCTCTGAAGAGTCTTCCTCGATATCATAAACACAGCTTTCCAGGCCGCTAGCAACTGCCATCAACCACCATCCAAGCATCATTTATTGACTATACCGCCATGTTAGCCAATGTTAGCTGCTACTAAACAGTAAACCCCCAAATTCATCCCTCATGTTTCTGGGCCGCGACCAGGTGACTTCTTGAAGACATCCGCGTGGTGTGCAAAGTCCTGGGTCAAGTCGCGGTACAGCGCCTGACCCTCCGCGCTGTTCTCCACGATGCTCTGCAGCGCCTTCTTATCGGCCTCGTCCTGGTGGCATGATACCAACAATGGGGGGCACCTACAAGACTCACAGAATTTATGGCAAAAAAAAACGGCCAAAAAATGTGAGCGTGAACCAAATATCAAACACCCGAATGATTTCGGTATGGGCTTACAGTCCCCTCAATAAAAACATATAAAAACTATGGTCTGTTTCGAAGCCCTGACCATCCCTGACCTTGGCGAAGAAGGACAAAGTCTCGAAGAACTTTCGGTTTGGCTTTCCAAAGATGTCCAACACGTGGCTGAAGACCTGTCTCACCGACAGCTCCTGTGGACACCAGTTTCGAGCACCTGCGGCTGGATCTTTGAGGCACAACAGGGCCCCTTCTGTCTCAAAATCAACAGATTGTTGCAGGGAAATAGTGGGAAAGAATATGGGACACGAATGGACACTATATCTATATAGATACATCTAGATCTTGCAAGTTTCAGCTCGATATCCTTAAGTTCGCTATGCTGTTGGATCTGTTGTTTCCGCTCCGCCAAGATCTTAAACACGGCTAAACCACCACAGCAATTGCCTTCCATCGGCAAAACTCGGAGGTTCTGCGTGGCATCAAAGCCCATCTCTTTGCAGAACTCCTGGATGTGGGTAGAAGGAGTTGGGCGATTCTAAACATCACTGAAACTCAACCCTACTCAAAGATTGAGGAAGGAAATCCCTTCATACTTGGTAACTAGATTTAACCATCCATAAATAGTTGGCAATGCAGCCAATTGAGTCACTTGCAATGCAAGCGTGCGCTTGCACAGGCAATAAAGATGCCTAGAAGCTCTGGACAGGCCCTGCCTCAACCTTGTCCAGGGGGTTGCGGGGCCATACTGCCAAGCTGTCTCCCGTCTTGTAGCTCACAGGGGTTCCTTCGATCCTCGGGCTGCTTGGTTGAAAAGGGGAAACACAAATTCCAGGAAGATATGATGAGATCCAGTCAAACGGGGCAAGAAATACCATATGAGTGAACGTACATGTTTGGCTCTGAAATTCAGAACTATTCCATTGCTACACATTGCTACCATTGCCATTTCCAACAAAACGCTCCTCCAATGGACGTCTGTCGTATCTCACCAAGCCACTTGAACTCATAATGGCGGATGTCACGATCGTACTTCTCCGGAACCAACAAGGAGTTGTGCAACAGCGTCAGTTTTGCAGCTCCCGGTGGCACAATGTCATCGTCACTGACAGGAGGCTTGCCTGTGCCACCTTGGAAAATCTGTGGAGATGACCAACTGCTTGGGCATTCCGCTTGTTCTCATCACTGGCTGATGTTGGAAATGAAAAGCCCTTGGACAGGTTCGTGTTGGACCCATGAACCAACAAGCCAATTTTCATATCTGGCAATCTGGCAATTCTGTCTCATGCCAAATATATACCAAACTGTGTCTTACGCAACCATACCAGTTATAAACTATAATATCTGTAATATCTGTAACAATACCATGCATGGTCACAGAAAGAACATTATGTCATTATGTTGTGAGTCCCCAGTCCCCACTTAGCGCCCTCACTCACATCCACGCGATAGCACGGAGCCGGTGCCTCCTGTCCAGAGATGGGTTGCACCAACATGGCTCATGGTAGGCTACATGATCTCACCAATATATGAGGCTTCTAAGAAAATATATAAGGAAAAACACCGACAATCCAAGGTTTAAGAGCTGATTCACAAAATCCAAGGGTTCAAAACCTGATGTTCCCATTCAAACAGCGATTTTGGGGTGGTTTGTCATCATGTCCCTCCCAATTCTTAGGAGGAACCCAGATCCCCGACATCATCCCTCCAAATTGCCATCCGCCTGGGACAGGGGCATCTGCGGCAAGCCCATCACCTTCCAGAGCTCTGGCAACCAAGCCTCCCAGCCGGTGTAGTAGCGGTCCTGCCACAGAATCACTGGTTGGAATTTACAAAAGAGACCAACCCTCCTGAAAAAAAGGACCTTTAAAAGACCTTTAAACTACCAAAAGCCTGCACAAGACCAAAAAGACATGGAATCCATCACGGAAATATTTTTAAGGCTCCCGCCTCATCGCGGTCGTCGCCCACACCGCGCTTCAGCATGCGCTGGCCGCCCAGTTCACCAAGGCGCGTGTCGAACTGAATGGCTGCCACGCAGAACTGGCCTCAGATGCTATGCCATCTGTGGGAGAAAAAAGTGGAAAGGTCAAAATATTGTCGCCATTAATAGTGGTTGATGTGGTTGATATTGGTTGATATTGGTTGATAGTGGTCAATAGTGGTTAGTAGTGGTTGATGGGTGATTGATAATATGGTTGATGATGGTCTCTGATAGTTAATGGGCAATTCAAACATCAATGGGGTATACTGAGAAGGGTTCATGAACGTAGCCACCAAATAAGTAGACCATCTACATTCCTGGTCAAAGGCCAAGATGCTGTAAGTGGAATCTCCCAAGCCAAAGACTGCAAACTTGGTGCCAGCCAACCAGCTCATCGGCAAGTCCTGGTGGAGGGCGGGGACCGGGGGGACTTGGGGGACCTGGCACCGATCCAGTGGTCCTGGGACTGCAACTTCAGCCAGGTCTGTTTGGAATTGGCAGGGAACTCACCCAAGCCGCAGGTGGAAACCACCAGGATCACCTGACAAGCTCGGCTGACTCACAGCATGGAGCAGCATCGGCTACGCATCCGTGGGATGGGTCGGAGTTCAATTTAAAATAGGCTAAGCCAAAATCCGGCGGTTGGAAAACCTCATTTCCACCACTAAAATTGCCATAGATTTCACAGAAAATCCACCATTTGTCCATTGCCCTCCGGTAGTCAAACATGGCTTGCTGAGAAGTGCACAAGTTTTTCTGGAGTGTCCCCCATTTAGTTCAATGATTTTCCCATTTCAATGCCCTTTTAGTGAAAGGATTTTCCCAGCCAGCCATGTTGGAGGACACCGGAGGGTATCCCCATTGTTTGCCGGTTCTGACCCATGGTATTCATGTTTCTTTTTCTGTTGATCAAATCACCATTCAATCCCTGTTGTTTTTTATTAATTCCCTATCGGTTGTTCGTTGATGAAGATTTTTCTGTTGGTCAAAATCCCCATTATCTCACCATTGTTCCATCCCACTGTTGCTTAAATCGCCATTCAATCACCATTAAAGCAGCATCAAATCACAAATATGTTATGTCCCCCATCCCCCATCTTGGTTCATCACCATGATATATCACCATGAAAAATCCCCATGAAAAGCTGAAAAATCACCATCAAAAATCACCATCAAAATCCATTGCGGCCATGGCGGCCAAGTCGCGATCTTCTGATTTGGCAACTCCTCGAAGTCAAAGTCATCCAAGGAGGACACCTGGGCCTTGAGCCCACGGGCCCTGATGTCCTGACACGGGAACACGGGATCTCCACCAAAACAACTGGGTGGGTTTGCGCCTAATAATGGCTATATCATGGGATTAGATGGAGAACAATAGCTATACAATGAGGATATCACTTGAGGTTATAACTGGATAGATATATATATATAATCATACAGTATATATATATAATCATATATATATAGAATCATATATATGTATATTATCTAAAGATAGCCAGGCTGTTCTCCATATCTCTCCATCCCATGCCACGACGCATCTGGCCACTCAGCCACTCCACTGATCTGAGAACATCCACCTGCATGAGGTTCTTGGCTTGCTCTTCGGCATTTCCGGTCTCACTTCCATACAGCACCGTGACCTAAGACATGGGCGTAGCACAAGCGTAGCGTTAAAAAATGTGCTACAGAAACTGCCATGTCTTGCCTAAGGCCTAAGGTGATTTAGAATATGTATGTTACCACTTGGAAACATGAAGAATGTACTGAAATCGCGACTCAGAACTCACCTCCAGAAGAAACAAATGGTTTACCTAGCATAAGTAATGCAAATATATGAATATATAATCATATATATATACATATATATATACATATATATATACATATATATATATACATATATATATACATATATATATACATATACATATATATATATATGTATATGTCGGGAGTGCTCTGTTAAAATATGTTATGCCGGAGAAGTCCCAAGTCCTGTCCAAACAGCAAATGTCCTGTCCAGGACCTCGAGGTCGAAACTTTCACCAAGGCACCATGTCAGCAGTGCTCTTGGCATCCGACAGACCCTCCACCAACTTGTGGAATTGACCTCACCCGTTGTGTCAAGTCCATCTCCATCTCTGCGAACCAATCAATAAGTACATAATAGTAATCATATAAAAGCATAGATCATATATATAATATATATATATATATATCACATATCATTGATATATCATATATATATATATATCACATATCATTGATATATCATATATATTTATATATCACATATCATTGATATATCATATATATATATATTATGTATCATATATCTTGTATATGTATATATATAAAGACAGCACCCATTCTTCTTTTTGGGCACTGCAAGACCGATTTAGTCATTAAACAGGAACCAGACTTCCAGTCTGGGGCAGGAGATCTCACTCCTTGCCCAAAAAGTTTTGAGAGTTCGAGGGGCCCCGACAAACATTTCTCCCCGCCTAGCCTAAAGGAGAAAGTTTGCCCCCCTGTACCCCCCACTCACCTCGCCATGCCAAGGATCATGGGCACAGGTACGAAGAAAAAATAGTACTCTCAGTCCCCTAGGACGTTTCTATTTCTCCTTTCCAAAAAAATATCGACAAAACGGACACAAATTAGGCCCCACTCCATCATCAATAGAGAACAATGGAGGGGGAGGGAGGGAACTTAAGCCAAAAAGCTACCAAAAAACATTCATGGTTGTGTCTTTACATCCGGGGCGTTACTTCAAAGACAGCACCCATTCTTCTTTTTGGGCACTGCAAGACCGATTTAGTCATTAAACAGGAACCAGACTTCCAGTCTGGGGCAGGAGATCTCACTCCTTGCCCAAAAAGTTTTGAGAGTTCGAGGGGCCCCGACAAACATTTCTCCCCGCCTAGCCTAAAGGAGAAAGTTTGCCCCCCTGTACCCCCCACTCACCTCGCCATGCCAAGGATCATGGGCACAGGTACGAAGAAAAAATAGTACTCTCAGTCCCCTAGGACGTTTCTATTTCTCCTTTCCAAAAAAATATCGACAAAACGGACACAAATTAGGCCCCACTCCACGTCCCCCCGGTCTTCTCAACGAGAAAGCTCAAGCTTTTTAGCACCAACGGGGTATGGATGCCGTTAACGAATTCTTATAAACAGTGTGAAACGGTTTCAACGATGCCCCCTGAAGGTTCATTTCGGCCAGAACAGCTAACCCTTCATTTAAATAGGTTCGCGCGGTGCGTGCTGCCATCCATCTCCCTTGGAGGAGAATCTTATCTAAGGATCCATGCTTACTGAACCAGAAAGTAGCTCCGCCACGTCTCAAGGAGTAAGGTCTAAACTCCCAATGGTCCAAAGACAAAGCAGAAAGAGCCTTAGAAAATTGTTTTCGCCAAGTATGAGGGGCAGGACAAAGCATAGCACCGCTTGGGGTACTTCGTTTCCAATGAGCTAGTCGTCGGACAACTTCTTTGACAGACACAGTAACGCTTTCAGCGGCACCGGTCCTTTTTCCTCCCTTGGTATATCCCAGAGAAATAACCGCAGTATGTTCAGAGCCATCAATTGTTACATCTTTGTTCCTGATACCTAAAAGTTCGCCAGTACGCAGCATAGCATAAAAACCCAGCAGGGTAGAAAGGCCCAAAGCAAAGGAACGATGAAACCAAAAATAGCCCACAAGACTTTGGACAACTTTTTCAGGAAAGGGGGGCGCGCGGTTAGGAATTTCGTTTGTATGCAACGTTTTAAGGAGTCTCCAAGCACCCGGCAGTCTCCCACGCAGCCTTGGGCTAGTGTCCTGAAGTGCTGCTAGCGTGTCGGACGCAAGCGCGCGGCCCTCCCCTGAAGACCACAAATGTTCTAAGTAGTCACAAAGCAAGCCATCCAGTTGATAACACTGTGTTGGTAGTTCCAGGGAGTTTGCTGAAAGGAAAGAATAGAAGCGTTTCTTTGCTTTGTCATATCGGATACGTGTACGTGGTTGTAGCGTGAGGTTCTTTAGGCTTCCCTTTTCTTTGCGGATCTTACGGCGCTCTTGCTGACTCCGTCCTTCTAGGACCTTTTGACCTTTCCCCATTTCTTGACTCGCAGCCGCCGGCTGGGCCGGTCGGCTGGGTTTTGACTTGTGTGGACATACGTCCACAGGGGATGGATGTTGGAGAGCAGCAAGAGGGCGCCAATCCGCATCACCGTTCGCCGTAACTTTCTGCTGGAGCTACGACCCCTGCTCAAGGAGTGCAAGACAACCATTGAGTCCACTAGGTGGATTGCACGGCAATTCACCCGGCGCTGTTTCACGATCCACCAGCGCACTGTTGTAAGAGTAGCTCGCATTTCCAGCACATTGATATGTTCCTTTGAACCTCGCCACTGCCAGCCTGTTACCTCTTTCCATTTCCAGAGGCGGCTGGGAATTGTATACCGTATCCGTTGATGTCTATTCAGCGGCTCTGAGGCCGACTGTACCATCAAGTCTTGTCCCTTCACGGAGACCAACCCTGTTAGTTTGCGCGCCAAGCCAGCATCAGGAGCCACCACCGTGACTTCCCGCCGTGTAGGAGGTCGTAGGAGGGTGGTTTGCAACCGTACTCCCTTACCAGGAGCACCCCGATCCACCAAAGCCTGAATAGACGTTTTGGGGCATGCTCCCAATCGTTCAAAAAGAGATTTTAACAAACACACCACCACGGGGACCGACCACGAATTCCCCAACAATGTTTTCCTGAGATCAGACCACCCTTCACCCTGGCGCTGGGATTTCGGAAGGCACTGCTCGGTGTAGTTGGCTGGAAAGCCCAAAATGACCTCTCTCTCAGTGACAGAAGCCACCCGCACTCCTCCCGAAGCGTGATGCACACAGTACTCAGCCTTGTACTGGTAAGGAGGGTAGCGGTGGGAGTCTTCTCGCCATCGCGCCAATGCCTCTTCATCACAGGAGTGCAAGCCTGCTGGCCGCATCCCGGGTGTAGGGGACGGCCGGGCTGTGGTGAACGTGGGGAACCGGTGCCCAGGTGGCATTGACCACCCCGCCTGGAGGAAATCCTTCTGGTCAAAGTCAGCCGTCAGCGTCACCGGCTGTAACGCCTCCCAGCCTTGACCGTGTGGGTCCTCCAACACCAGCCCTGCTTCGGAGTTCACTTCCCAGGTAAGCCAATACAGGCGCGGGCGTCTGGCCAGACTGATCCCTGCTGCATCGACCTTTAGGGGTGTCATGCCCAGGTCTTCTGACATAGCTGCCCGATCTGCTGTATCCATCGACGCCACGTTCTCCAGGAAAAGATGGACCTGCGCCCAAGAGAAGCACTTTCGAATCAGTGCCTCAACCCGGGGTACCTCTTTGTAGAGCGAACTGCGGGCATCCTTTTGGGACCCTTTCCTGTCAGCATTAAGTCCACTGACTCCTTGACAGGGGGGCCCGGCCCCTACCAGGACCACCCCCACACCTGTGAACTCGCATGCCCATCCCTGCACCATGTCAAAGTTGATCTCCTGAATAGATGGCACCAGGACCGTGCCTGGGAAAGCGGCTTCCACCACCCGGTTGGCTGCCTCGTTGCATTCTACGCTGATGTGTCCAGCGACTACCAAATGCAGAATGTCCGCAGCCACCCGTAGGGCGGCTATTCCGTCGAATAGTCCTATTGTCAGGACTTCCACCGTCTCAAAGGGCTCCATCTCATCACCTCGAACCAGGGCAGCCTGTGCCGCCAAGCCATAAGAGGTGAGGCCCACCGAGGCGCTCACCCCACCTCCCGTCAAGGAGGCATCACTAGCGGTAACTTGGGTCACCATGTCCAGCCTGAAGTCCATCTGTGCGAGTGGTATCAAGGCCACAAACCTCATTACCTCTTTCTTTACCACCGCCGGCAGGGGGTGTCGGACTACAGGGGGCTCCAACTTCAAACTCTCAATATGCTGCCATATAGCATTCAGGCCACCCAGCAGGGCTCTACGAAACATGCAAATGTAGACTAAGCCCCCGGCAACTACTTGTAGTTCCCGCTGAGTGGCCGCCCCCCGAGAGACCAGTTCCCAGGCCAATGCCAAGTATTTCAAGACCTTGTCGGGCTTGGCGTAGGCTACCCCCGCCTCCCCATCCAGGAGGGCTCCCTGGACCTCGGCCTGTAGAGCGGATTCCACCGCTTTCTTCGGGTGCCTAGGGAGCTTGACCAGCTCGTACTGGTGCCGCAGGGCCAACTGATGGGCCGAAGGGTGGCCTTCAATGTCATGGGCCAACTGCTTGTCCACTTTACGGACCTCATCCCAGTTGTCCAAATAGACCCGAAACATGCCTGGCCCTCTCGGTGCGGGTCTGTCCCGCCGCAATTCAGTTTCCCCTGCCGCATCACATCCACCTCGAGCCATGCTCCAGTGAACCACATTCCGGTGAATATGTTGGGCCAGACCGACTGAATGAATAAACCCCATCGGCAACACTTGGGCAACCAGGTGACAAGGCTCACCCGCCCAACAGCGGGGGACCAGGTGCTGCGGCACCCGCCCCGCAAACCCCATAAACGGCCACCAGGAGCGGGGTATCTTGAACAGGTAGTAAAAACACTTGATGTCTTCACTTGACATCACAGCCACCTCCCCGTCATCCAAATAGAAAGCACTGAAACCAGAAATAGAAGGCAATGTACCAGTATCACCCTTCAAGGACTTACAGAGCCGGTTCGTAGGAACCAAATTCATGATTAATCTCTGCAGTTCAATGCCATCCTTGAATTCATTTTTTGATACGGCAAAAAGTCCGTTCAGAACAGGATGAGGCCCCACGTGATGTAAAAAACGCCGAGGTAACAATGAACAAATACCTGTCTTCAGCAACCCTTCGCAAACTTCAGGCCAGTCACGATCTGCTACTCTAATTTGAGGGGTGCGCCCAACAGTCTGCATTTCCGGGGGGAGTAGGAACTTTTCAAACTCTTGGACATAGATTTTACAACCCCCCGTACAGAAGTCCTCCAACTCCAAGGAGCCCACCTCTTCCGGGAATGCCGCGGAGATAGAAGACCAGGTGAATGCCTGGGCCAGCTTAACTTCTTCCCCCCGATAGTCAACCCCTTTAATTTTGAACAACTCGTCAAAGGTGCTAGCTGGCACCCTCTCCGGCCAATCCCACATCCTGTCCAAAAACTTCACAAGGGAGGTCACCAGCCTTTTTTGCAGCGCAGTCGGTGCGCGGTGTGACTCTGGCGTTGAACCATAAAAAGAATTCAAGCCCAGGAGAATTGCCTTTAACCAAGGCTGCTTTGCAGAGGGAACCCCCTCATACTCCCCCAGCGGCAGAGGATAAATTTCATCCTTAGCCATGGTCGTGGTCTTTGCAGTGCTATCCCTTAGGATCTGCTGGAGGGATAATAAGAGGGGTTCCCCCAATTGGGAAAAAGTGCAACCTGCCAAGCTAGGAAAGCCCGTTTGGCCTCCCCCTGTACGGTGAAACTGTCGCCCCTCTCGGCTTTGATCAGGGCCTCCCGCAACTATAGCCCCAGCAGGAGCCGGCGTGGGAGATCCCAACCGGACCTCACCAGCCCGCTCCCCCTCGGCTTCTGAATTCAGAGCCTCAGCCAGGAGGACTGCTTTTGACGAGCGCTGCCAATCGTGATGTGGCCCATCAGCAGCCAGCCTCCCTTCAGAACTGCCATGCTCATGCAATGAAGGCTCCATAGGAGAGGGACGCTGCCAGTCGTGATTTGGCCCCTCTCCCACTTTGCTCTCCAGACCCGATCTTGAGCCCCTCTCGGCCAGGAGTAGGGACTCCCCTTCTGCTATCACATCCACCTCTCTGTCACTGCTCTCCTCAATCATCTTCCTTCTCTCAGGAGCCCGCCTCAGCTCCCCTTCGACTTCTTTGCGTCGCCCCGATCTCCGTCGCCTTTCCTTTGATCGCCCTTCTGATTCTTTCCTTTTCCGGCTCCTTTCTTTCCTCCTCCCTTGCTCCAGTCCTCGCTCTTCCCCGTGAACCCGGGCCGGGTCCCATACGGCCGGCTGGCCTCGAGGCGGGATTTCCCTTCCTCCCTCGCCAGTCTGGCTGCCTCCCTGAATTCTGGGGTGGTTGAGAGCGAGACCCCCTCGCGGGGGAGCAACTCTTGTTGCTGAGATACGGAGTAATGGACGCCGTTCATCTGCATTTCCAACGCCTTCAGGCGTTGCCCGCAGAGATCCATCATCTCCGCAAAACGACCCCGCAGCCTGTAGTCCAGGGCTTGGGCTAGGGTCTGTGCTTCTCTGGACATAGCAGGTGACATCTTGGGCGCTAGCTATTGTCTGTAGTAACGAGTGAACAAGGGGGGTAGGGGACCCGAGGTGGTGTCCCATATCCCCCCCTCTTGCGTCACTAGCGCCTCCGACGCCTCTTCCAAGGCCGCGCACAACAGAGTGCCCGGAAGCCGCTTCCCAATCGTCTGTACCCGACTGGTCGACCCGAACAACGTCTTGTCTCCTGACCTGGTGGTTGTACTGCTGGAAGAGGAGTTGCTGGACTCCCCCCGAGACCCTTTTGTTTTCTTCTTCGCAATCTTCGAAGCTCTCTTCCGAAACTTCTTCCGGATGCCTGGTTCTGGATCGGCCCCGGTATTTCCCAGCAAGTTCTTCAGGTCCTTGGTTGCTTCTATCTTCAACTTTGCCTTTCTCCGGCGCCTGCTTCTGCTCCTCTTCCTGGCCCTCTTCTGATCGTCTTCTTCTCCACGCCGGGGCGGGGAGGCTCTCTCTGCCTCCCCCCGTCCCTCTCGACGGTCTCCCCCCATCAGCGCGTCCCTGTCTCTCCTCAACTCCTCCAGATCGTCCTCTGCCTCTCCGCGCCTGTCGGCCGGAACCAGGTTGCCCATCCAGTCCTCTCGATGAGCCCCCAGGTGCCTCAGCTGTTTGACATGCAGGAGGCCCTCTGCGTGCGGGGTGCCTACACACTCCTTGTCGCACAGGTGGGCCTCTATGGCCTGGCCCGGCCTCCCCGATGCCGCCCGCAGAAGATCTTCGTTCTGCGTACCCAGCACCTGCGCCATCAAATACAGCTGGCCATCCTTCACCCGGGCCTCCTTGATCCTCAGCGCTGCTTTGCAAACTCCCGTCCAATAGGAGCCATCCACCACTTCGATATCCTTCATATCTCTGCATTGTGCCAAGGTGACGTCCGCACTGGCTATCACCCCTCCTACCTTCTCCTCAGCCGCACTAGGTCTCCGGAGTCTTCTCAATCCTCCAGCCGCCGCTTTCGCCACAGCAACAACGGCAGCAGGCCTCCTTATCTTAGGAGGCATGGGCCTCCCTAGCGCCGGCCTCTTGCTCTGCCCTGGCGCCGCCAGAACTCCTTATTTCTCTTCCTCTTTGATGTGCCCTTGTTTTTGCCAAAGTGCCTCCCTTGCCCAGGCGGGGGCTCCCGTGGAGGCGCCCTTATAGGGCCTTGCCAGTGGCGTCCCTCAGGGCGATAGGAGGGGGCCACCGAAATAGGGCTTCTCCTAGGCGGACTGTAAGCAGGGCTTCTGGGTCGGATAGGGCTCCGGGGTCTCGCCTTCTTCCGCTGTATCTCCTCACGGCTGTCACTGCGGCTCCTCTTCACTCCTTCTGGCCTCACTGGGCTGGCCAGTCTATGCTCTCCTCGGCGTTGGCGACTTCTGGACTTCCTCTTGTCCTTCTTCTTCTTCTTGGACGGCGACTTCTCCTTTTTTCTTTCCTCAACACGTTCCCTAGAAGGCCGGGAGCCAGCAGGGGCCGGCGGTTCTTCGCCTGCTGTTGTATTTGCCCCCTCTGCACCTGTAGGTGAGCTCTCCTGCTTCACCCCAGCGGCCTTTGGGAATGCGCCCTTAACAGGTGGATCCTCACCCGGACCCCCAGGCCTGTTCAAGGGCAAGTCTGGATCTGTAATTAGGGGGATGCCTCCTGGCCGAGGCACCACCCCCCTTGAAACCTCACTAAAGTCTTGGAGCTCCCCCAGCCAAGTCCGCAGGCGCAGAAGGACCTGCTCAGAGGAGTCCGCCGGTATCTGTGGTCCTCGCACGTAGGCAGCAATGCGATCCACAGTCCGGCACACCGTGCAGACGCCTCCACCCGTTCCTACCCACTTGCCGTAACAAGAGGGGCAACCAGGAGGGGGCATCCAAACAATCCCTCAACTTAAGCCAAAAAGCTACCAAAAAACATTCATGGTTGTGTCTTTACATCCGGGGCGTTACTTCATATATGAAATCAAAACTGGAATGTGAATAGAAGATAAAGGTGTACCTCAACCCAGCAGCCGCGCCTTCCAAGTCCTCTTTGTTCAGCACCTGCAGCAAGTGGTTCTTCTGCACCACCTGTTCTTGCAGTCGGTCATCGAGCTCCTGCCAACGGCACAAGATAAATCTCTTGGCCACCTGGGGGTTTCCACAAAGGAGGTATCCCAATAGCTAGATGGTTTTCTAATGGAAAATCCTCTTACAATAGATGATTTGGGGGTACCACTATTTTAGGAAACCGCCAATTCACTGTTTTGTATGCCAACCCCTGACAATATTTCGATGTTTCAAACAGTTTGTGGTTCTTCAAACAGTCTTGGCCATCGTGGCACTCTTGACATTGAAACTCCTTGAACCACCAATGCACACATGAACGACAAAACAGAAACTGTTTCAATCTGAAACGTTTCAATGCCAGAAAAGATGAGATAACTCGGTGTATGCCACGGTTTCTGCCACGCATGCTTTAGAGGGGTTCATGCGATTGCAACTCCTAGCTTCTGGGTGGCCAGTCAGTACTATTTGTTGCTCCCTGCAGTTTGACGCTTTGCATTAGATCTCCCTGCAGCTCTCCTGCGCATGTTTCGGATCGCGGCGCATCACTGCCGCGAAGCGATTCTCCTGGATCGGAGCTTTGAGAAGCAGTGGATCTTAGAGCATGTCAAACTGAGGCTAACCAACAGTGTGTGTGTGAAATCTTGAAGGGTAACAGAATATAGACGAATACAGTACGATTCTGGAATATATATATATATAATATTATATAATTATATATATAATATATAGCCTGAATATATGCAATATGATAAGCATGCATACTAGAACAGTCCAAAGATGATTGAAGCCCCAGCAAGAAGCCGACCTTGGCCAAGAACTTGAAGAGGTCGCCCTTAATCTTCCTGCTATCCAGCTGGAAGGGGTTGTTGCCATTCGCAGCCGCTTCGGGGTTGTAGCGGTACAAAGGCCAGTAGCCTCAGGATGTCATCCATATCATCCATTAACAAAAACTGTGGCTGACTGTGGCTTACCCCACTTACTTTCGCATCAACAGTGCCTGTACTCAAAGAAGCCTACCAACGCTGTTTTGAATGCCCCAAAACATAAGAAACCAATTACCATTCAAAAACGTTGCATATCTCACTCCAAGCAACCGCTGTCCACCGCCATCTGGCAGTGCTGAATGGACTCGGCCATTGGGAATCCCTGACTGATGCAAGGAGTGTAGGACAAGATGATGCTAGGTCCTGTGGTCCCACTGCTTCTTCCCCCGCACCACAACCAAAAAATGCATGAGAAGCCCAGGTTCAGCAGGATCACATCTCTGATCAATCTGATCAATATTGTCTATGATAAATTGATAAAATTAAAGCTTAAAAGAGCCTCAACCAAGCTCAGTACTGTCCTGGATAGGCATCGGCTTCAATAAAAGCACGGACTGCCTGCCACGGAGTTCAGGACAGGGACTTATGACTTATGCATTTCATCGCCTGGAAGAGGCTATGAATACTACGGACATCATCCCAACAAATCGGTTCCCATCGACAGTTGGTAACTAATGCAACCATGCAAAAGTGCACCTGCTGTGGGTTTACATGCACGCAAATGCTGGCCACATAGACCTCAAGAGGACAATTGGAGGACGGCGGCTCGACATCCAATGGCAGCGGCCCATGAGGGGTTCTGGACAAACAGCCGGGTTGCAGTATCTTCTTTGCACACGGTATAGACCATGGTGTATGAACGCCCATCAAAACTCACAATAAATCCTATCGTAACTATTCAAGACCCTTAGGCCCTTAAGTGTTCCTTGTCCCACTTGCAAGCACGGTACGTTCTTGTAGGTCATGGCCAATTGTCCCATGTCCTGTCGAAGCACTGGAATGCAGCAAGATCATATGAGAATTATGTTTTCCTTTCTCAAGGTTTGTGGAACTCCAGGTAGGTGTTTTTACCAAGTCAGAATTAAACTGATTTCTTCCACCTCAGTCATTTGCACACCTGGCACCTTTGTGGGCCCATATACTTTTTGGATAGACTCCTGACCAACCAAGACACATTCCTCAAACAAATCGTGAGATTGTCCATCTGAAAATGTCACAATCCAAACCTTGGAGACTCAAAAAAGAATGGGCAACCACCATGATCAGCCCGCACTCCCAAACCGTGGGTGTTTTCAAACCATCGAAAACATAGAAATATGCCACTCCACATGTCAAAAACCAAAAAGAACAATCAACAGATGTGTTGTAAAAAAAACAAGTGTACAAAACAACCCCAAATAGCTTGTTTTCCCCTATCATTGTTCCGTATGTGTTCCATATGTTTCCCCAAAAAAACCATCGGTGGGACGCTGGGACCATCCTTCTTGGCCGTCAGCTTGCCGCTCTCCGCGAACTTGGCCATGGCACCCTTGGGCGTCGCCTTCGAGGCCTGGCCTCCGGTGTTGCTGTACATCTCCTTGGACGCGCGAAACGGGGATGGGAAACCTGGTGGAAAACCATGGGAAAACCATGGGAAAACCATGGGAAATATGGATAAATAGTGGTGAGATTGAGTGTAAAGTGTGAAACGGGGTATTTAGCTGCAAAGACGGGGCATGTTAAGCTGGAAACCTTTATATGTTTTATTTGTGAAACAGTGAAACCATCCTTTTTTCTGGTTGACATGTTCCCCAAGACCAAGTCTGGGACGACTGGTTTCAAGCTGACTTTGCTGGGGGATGGCATTTGATACAAGCTATACACTCTACAGGTTGGATACATATTATTGCATTCCAACCAAAAACCACGGGAGTGTGCGAACTCCCCAAGCTCTTGCGACTCTTGCGCCAGGGATCTGTGTCGAGCACCAAGATGTTGACGTGTTCCTGCCAGGTTGACCAGGCTCCCCGAAAACACGAAAACAGATGCTCGAGCATCAACTTGAACCTGGTCTTTAAAGGATCCTACTGTCATCCACGACACACAAATTTTATGATAACCCAGCTGCCATGGGAGTTGCCGAGAATAGAATCATTGTCCAAGGATAGCCAAGGAGAGCTCATAAACCTCATAAACTCATGAAAGCCTTGGTGATGTACCGGACCTGTCCATGTTTGGAGTCCTAGATGTGGAAAGTCAGTATGATCAGGGCAGACAAGCAAGGGATTTTGTTCAATCGTTGGCTCAAAAACCTGAATTTGTTTGATAATCATACTAACTCATCCCGTCGCCCTAGTCTTAAACACCCTGTCAGAAACCATGGTTCAATATTTTTAATATTGAATTTACACATGTGTTACCATTTAGGCCTACGGAGTGTTTAACATTAGGGGGCTGGGATGAACACCATGCTGTCATCCATTTTCTCGGGCCCATCCGAGGTGCCTCACTGGCAATGACGTGATCCAGGCCGCCATAGCCGATGTCGTAAGCCCAGCCGTCACCACCCACAATCCAGAAGCTGCTGCGTCCGAACATGTCTTCCCTGGCTCAAAACTTGTCAGGACAGGAAGTCCTAAAAATAGGATGGAAGAAATCCTGCACCACCAAAAGGATGGTTGAAACCCTATAAATCCGATAAACCATCTATCAACTGGTGCAGGATTTCTTCCATCCACAGTAGTTTGTTTCTGAAAGTTGAGCCAATGATGTTTTCCTCTTGCTGTGAAATTTAGAATTCAACACTGACTCAAAATGGCTGGAAACTTCACTAGTGACTCTAGTGGGATGCAATGATGCCACTATGCCTTGATTTCAGCCTCAAAAGGAAGGTTTCTGTGTTGGACTTAGTTGAGACAAGGAGCAATTCATAGAGATTCTTGATCTTGGCATGCGTATCCTTCTCCTGACAAGTCGCATTTGGCCAGTTTCGATGTGATCCAGGGGTTGGTAACTGTCCCATTTTGGGTATATTGGACATCACCTTATAGTAGCCATTATAGACCATATACCTAATGGTTGGGTGATGTTCAATGGGGACATTTAATGACCCATGTGATCACACAGTCATCAATCAAGTTTTAAATTTCCTCAGTGGAACGGGTCGAATCCAGGCCAGGACAAAACGGCCTTCTCCAGAAGTGGCACCAACTTCTCCATGATTTGGTGGTAGATACTTCGACCACGAGGAAGCAGCAAGTCGTGCATGTTCTCCTATGACTGAGCATGGGAGGCCCCTCGTCTAAAATGCGGGGAATAGACTTTTTTGATGATCTTAGATGGGGAAAGATGCCTATCTTTATCAGATATATAATTATATAACCAAGATGGTTTTCCCAACTGAACTCACCCATAATCAGCAAACGAAACCCTTGTACATTGGCCTGGATGGAGGTGCTAGCTCAGGGGTTTACAAGCAGCGGATCAAGCATGTCTTGTCCTCTGCTCTGGGCTTGAACAGTCTGCTGAATGGCAGAATCTTTCAGAATCCAAATCTGAATCCATCACCAGCTGCACTTCATCCCACAAAGTCTGGCTTCACACACTTGGGGATGGGTCAAAACCCTGGTACCTAGTGAACCCCAAAATAGCTGGTAAATGGATGTTCATCCCCCTAAAAATGGTATGTATAGGTATTGATCCATAGCCACTTCTGATCACAAGAACATGCAAGAACCAGCCATTGGACTCGAGGCAGGCCGGTCCTTGCGCATCACCAGGTACTGATTCAAGGCAGCACGGAGGTCTTCGCTCATCAGGACCTCCTTATCCGCCAGGGTGTCCTGCGGCTAGGACCATGGTGAAACATTCAACTTGAGGGATCTGCCAGCGAAAGGTTTGGGAAACAGCCACTTCCAAATCTTCACATGAAAAGAAGCAACAAAAAATCTCATCAGTTTCCAGCATTTCAGAATATTTCAGATATGTCAGCGACCTTCAAAAGAGTGAAAGCTTTTCGGGCCGGCCTCAACCTGGTTCGCCAAGTAGTCGCGTCGCTGCTTGAAGGCCTCACCAAGTCAGGTCAGAAACTCAGGACCTGGAAGTGAAACTTGCCTTCCACTTCATCCGAATCGGTGTTTCCCAAAAGCCAAAGGACAGTTCTTGAAGCTTTTGGGTCAAAATGTAACCCAAAGAAGCTGGAATATAAACCCTAAACCCAGAACTGCACCCCCAAGTATGGCATTGTGGTAGTACAAGCAGAAAAAATGATCTTCAGCCTTGCGCATTCCGAAGCCAAACTCTGCGTTGTCCTCGAAGAGCGAGTTGGCCCATGCAGGGCCTGCTCATGGATGGTTGCGGACATTGGGCAAAAATGCATTCGCAAAAATATCCCAGAATGATCGGAGATGTTTGGGCCACCCTTTGAGGATCATTTTGGGCCAGACTTTTGAGCCACTTGAAACGTTTTCAGGCTCTGGACGTCTGAGGTTTTTGGCTCCGCTGTCTTTGCCGCGTGCCTTCACCCTTGGAGTTCACGGTGTAGGGGAAGGATGGGTTGGAGCCGCCCCAAATGGACGAGCAGCCCGTGGCGTTGGCAATGACCAAACGCTCCCCGAACAGCTGAGTCATCAGCTTCACGTGAGGTGTCTCTCCACAACCCTCGCAGGCACCACCTTCAGCAAAGGACATGGGTTTCTCTGAAAACGATGGGAAAACCTTCCAAATCCATTGGTTAAGAATCCTTCTTCCTATCAACATCGCCATTTGGGGTGTACAAACTCTATACCGCATACCTCATTTTCAGACACGCTGACATCGTCTCTGTATGTTTGCATCAGAATGAGACATCTGTCAACACACCATGTCGAGAAAAAAATGAGGTTTCAGCGGTTGACCCCCCCCCTTTTTTCAATATCTGAAGCCAAGAGGCTGAACTCCAGATATGGCTTCTGGAACTGAGAGCCCTTGACTGTGGTCTTGTCAATCTCATCACCACGATCCGGCAGGGTCACAGCGAAGTTCCAGTTGGCTTCTTCTTCCTGCAGGTTAGCTTTGAAATCAGCGAACGTTCGCTGTGATCCATGCACCATGGTCAAAAGATGGTTTGTGTGGGATGGTCATCCATCATGGGAAACCTTGTAATGGGTCTATAAACCACTTAAAATTGATTGATGGCCATCCCCCAAGTTATATGGTGGTGTTATAATCCATATCTTTTGGCCATGACACATCAAAATCATTACAGCTGAACCTATCTGACTGACCGTATCTAACACCAGGCACATCAAAATCTTCACAGGGACGCACCATGGCACCGTGCACCTCAATGACCTTGGCAGCATCTGCCAACTTCAGTGCATCAGCAGGGCAAATGCGAACGCACAGCTCACAGCCCGTGCAGTCCCATGGAGACACCTTCAAGCACTGCACAGGCTGAAAACTTCCACGGTGAAGATATGAAAATGATTGGATGGCAGGGTCACCACGGTGCTGCTTCAACCTATCCAGTTACCAATTCCTCAAAGCATTGTAAGGGCAGTACACATCAGCAAACATGAAAATTCAACCCCTCAAAAACCTTCAGATGTCAAAGAAACCCCAAAACCCTCATGATTCGAGATGTGCTCATACAAAAATATCGCAAAGCCGGGTGAGATCTTCATCAAACATATCCTTACCGGTCAATAAACCCATTGTCCATTCCTTTTTCCAACCCGTCGATCGACCTGGATGCGGTATTGGTAGTTGTCCAGCACACCACCTCCAATGGCTGCGCGGCTGCCAGCACTGAAGTCCTGAGACGGTCGGTATCAAACATCGATACTCCGAAAAATAACACAAATATTCATACTCTACTTCGTAACTACTCAACAGTCTCAAACATGTCAGGAAGAAAGAAAGGTACCTGACATATATCAATGTATTATATAATATATATATATATATATTCATGTATTATTGTATTTTAACTCAAGTGTTCAACCGATCGAATTCGCACAGCTCCACCGCTCTCCAGCTCTCCTTGGGTGCTGCATTCAGCTCTTGCTGAGTTGCCAAGAAAGGACGGACCTCAGCGGCAGTGGATCCATGGGAATCTCCATCTGGGTGCATTCTTCACCAATGATGCACCCAAGTACTTGCCAAGTACTACTAGTATGGCAGTATGTCACCGCAACTATGAACTGCTCGGAATAGCCCAAGTGTGTTCTTTGCACTTGCACAATAAAAGCTGTAAAAACCACCAGCGATACTTCAAGCGCCATGTGCAATCAGCTGACAGCCGCGTGAGGACAGATCAGACTGCACTTGTTGCACTGTGTGCAGAGATCCATGTCCACCTGTGCCACAAGTTGCGCGCAGCTTGTGCGCTGAGGATAAGAAGATGGCGCCATGGCATCAAAGGCCATGGTGCAGCCAAATATGCCAAATTATGCCAAATCAAACCACTGAGGTCACATTTTGGAGCAATGGAAACACCTGCCTTGGGTACGTTGATGGCAATACCTCGCTTCTCGTACTGGCTGGTTCCCAAAGGTACACGGCCACCCGGAACGAAAGTGCTCACTGGCAAGGAGTTTCCGTCCTCCGAGCCACAGCCAACATGGGAGACAAGAGCCAAACTGGCCAAACTCCCACTCCACAGAATCCATACCTGCCATACCGGACCCTTGGGGGTGATAATGGGTGATACTTCGCATTGGATCATCTTGGATCATCTTGGATCGAAGTTTCAGACTTCCAACCTCTTCCAAAAAAGCCAAGCATCCAAGTTGTTGCAGGGCTGCTGCACTCCATCTGCAAACTGCTTGGGCGCCAAATCCACGATCTTCCTGGGCCCCTTGGCAGCCTGGGTAGATCCGCCAGCCTGCAGCTCTGAAGAGATTCATCCACTCCAACGAAAAACACATGGATCCAAAACTTCACATCCAAACCCAATCACATCCATAGCCTGCTTTTTTTTTAATTGCAAACTGTTGGCTTTTTATGGCTTTTTCACATCTGTCATATCTCTTTCACCAGAGTTTCACATGGGTTTTCCATGTTTTTCCTGGTGTTCACCAGATTTCGCATCCTTTTTTCACCAACGGTAACCCCATCGTCCTCCCCAGGTTCTGCCACCTCCCCAGGCAGCGCGATCTCGGCCCAGCTGGGTGGGACCGGACACTCGGTGATGCCACTCACCGAGGCGTCCACGCCGTCGATGTTCATCTGCACCACCTTGTCGCCTAGCCATCTGGATCTGCTGATCTGGAAATCTCCATGGGAAATATGAAAAATTGTTCAACATCCATTTCTTGATTTTTGATGGAAAAAAAATCCAGGGATAGAAATCATGGTTTAGGCTTAGGGATCCTAAATTAAAATAATCTCCAATGATTTCGATGAATTCATGATGATGGGGTCATTTCTGATAGTTGAGGACCTGCAGATCCACGGATTGTTTCTGTTGTTTCTGTTGCTGATCGTTTTTGGCGTCTCTTCAGCCAATGTTTCACTTGAGCATCACTATCATGCCCAATATTAGGCAATTGCCTGGCCTTTCTTGCCATACATCTTCTTGATGCTCTTCTTCAACATGTCAATGGCCTCCTCAAAAGGCATCACCTCACAGCCGGAAAACGACAACTAGGGCGGGAGTCTGAAGGGATTCCGATACATCAGGACCTTTTATGGAGGTTTCATCAAAGGATATCAAAGGTCTTCATTCGTAGAACCAACATCCACCAACTGCATCCAAAACCAGCGAACTCAGCCCAGCTGACTTCGTTTCAACAATCCAAGGCATCCAAGGCACGCCGCTCAGCTTGAAGAAGACACTCTGCATGATCATGTTGATTCGCTTGCCAAGACCAGCCTAGCGCGAATCTGGTCCATCCAGGAGGATGAACAATTGGCCGTAGACCCAGAATGCTCCTCTGTAATTGAGTGTCCAGAAACGGACTTGTCAAAACAGGAGTCTGGATCGTCAGGATCATCAGGATCCAGTATCTTCCGCTTCAAAGAGGATAAGACAGAAACGTTGTCCCAAAACACGACAGAAAAACTTCAAGTGCGGCGCCTTGACAGCAATCTGCGTGGCATCAATGATGTACAACTTCGCCTGTGCGTCCATTACCATCGAAGAAAACCGTTTGAGTTGGGGCTCCCAATGTTGTCCCGGCTATCAACCTTTCCAGATTGAAACTGACAGCTGTCCCTCCACTTTGTATCACAAACTGATGGGATTGCTTTCAATCTAGCAAGATTTGCAAACCCTCCCTGCCTTCTTGCTGGCCAAATCACATCGCATCTTCGGTGGCAACTTGTTCTCCAGGTCTCCGACACTCCAGGAGCAGTTGATGACGCAAACTCCATTGGGCTTCATATAGCGAGTCATGTCCTACCAGAAATGCTGTGCACCAAGCGCCCAAAATCATAGACTCGTGCGAAACACTAGGCCAGAGAGCCGGGCAAGTTCAGATTGAATTCTTTTGGGTGACAACAGAACAGCAAGGTTGGACAAGTTGGATGCATGTGCTCACATACAGAGAATGCTCCTAGGCTCCAATTCACAGTGACACAGGGTCTGCAGACTCCACCAATTGAGAAAAAACTACACCTGAAACTATACCTTAAATATACGGATCGTTAAATTAAAAGTCTGTAAAATCGTTCCCATAGAAAGACCCTCTTGGAAGGCTTCGGGCTCCACCGTCAGCCCATCTGTTCTGCCCAGGAACATAATTCGACACGTAGCTGGGCTTGTGGATTGCCAAGTAGTCTGCTGCACGCACGTTGTACCTCAACCATCATCTATCATCCATCATCAACCAGCCAGCCATCGTCAACCATCTGTAACATGTGTAACATTTATCAGCATCCATCAACCATCCAACCATCAACAAGATGGGCACGTGCCACCATGACGGCAGACACCATGCATCGGTCCAGCCGAGTTGCGGAGCATAAATTGGTTGAGGGCCGAAACGCAAATGGCTAATGGTGACGCCACCACTCTTCTTGGCATCGTACTCGAAGTAGGCCTGGCGTGGCAGCCCGCGGCCATGGGAAGGTGAACATGTTTTTTCTGGCTCTTCTTTACCTGTCCAACTTGATCCAGAGTAGCATTGAATTGATAGGTTCGGGCCAATGCAACCTCTCAATGTTGCGGTGGATTGATAAATGGCTAAATCATAGTAATTCACATGTAATAGCCTGAAATCAGGCCTTTTTGGGATGTTTTGCTTAATCCTAACCTATCCTACTCATCATTTCCATCATTTACATTGCAGTGAGGTCCTCATTCAAAAAAAAAACGATAAATCCCCACCTGTGCATACAACTCCGTACCCATGGCAATCATCTTCACAGCACTCTTGTTGGCACCAACAGTGCCATCGCTTCCCAAGCCGTAGAACATGCACTCTGTGGTTCCCTTGGGCAACACGTTCAGCCAGTCGCCCACGGGCAAGGACAGGTGTGTCACATCATCGATGATGCCCACGGTGAAGCGAGGCTTGGGGGTGTCCTGTGGCTGGAAATGAAGGTAACACAACCAAAACGGAGATTTCATGGGGTATTTATATGGATTTATGCAAGAAATAGGGGATTTCATGCGGAAACAATAGGATGTTTGGGTTTGCCTGAAAATTATTGGAAAAGCATGGAAAACCTCCCAAATCCACTGGTGAAGCATCATTTCCTATTCAAATGGGCATGACAAGGGGATTGGCAAACCCATATCTCTTTGGAGCTTGATGCGTTCAGAAAAATTTAGCCAATTCCCACTTGCCATGCCTTGCGATTCGAAAATCCAACAGGTCTGCTAAACCTTCCAACTATTTTGGACAAAAAATCGCGATGCCATTTCTCTCCCAGAAAATCTGGGAGCCTTCTTCAAGTTTTCGTAGACGGACAGCACCATGTTGGGAGTGAACTCCTTGGATCCCAAGCCATAGCGACCACCGATGCACACAATGTTGGGCTTGGACATGGCCTTCAGGGTGGTACTCACCTCCAAAAAGAGCGGCTCACCTTGAGAGCCCTGCTCCTGGCACCGAAGCCATGGCTAGTTGTGGATCCCCAGAGGTCTCCATTTCCACCCCCCATTTCCGTGGCTAAGCAGATTCTTTGAAAAAAGATGTCCAACTAGCAGTCGTTAGTCACCATAGATATATTTACCTATATGTAGAGATATAGAATGATATAGATATAAAACCTCAAGCTGAGAGCAGTCCTTCGTTCTGTCCAACACACAGATTCGCTTGCAGGTGGTCGGCAGGGCTGCCATGAAGCGTGTGCGATCCCAGGGGCGGAAGAGGCGAACCTTCAACACACCCACCTGCGGTCGTTCTGCGGAGTTTGGAGATCAAAATCCTGGGACTTTTGATAGCTTGTTCATCAAATATCATCAAACATCCTATAGAAAATTGACAACTGATGATATCCCGTAGAATGATGAAAACGGATCCGACAAATGCCAAATCCGCCACAATATGACCTACCTTTGCTTTGCTGTATTTGACCATGGTGTTTCTGTTACCACTCCAGCACTTCTCCAGCCTTCTCACCCTTCTCCTGCAGGTACTTGGCTGTCTCACTGCAGGTCACCGCACCACTTCCCATGACCACGATGACATACTCGGCCTCTGGGTGGCCATAATAGGCATAGAGGGCGTAGCGCACGCCAGTCTTCTGCTCCACCAACCTGGAGAATTCCGGTCGATTTCTGATAGATTTTGATAGGTGGGATGTATCCCGAAACTGAGGTCGATCAAAGGAACCACCATTGACAAATATTACATAATATTACCACTTTTCCCAAGCTGTAATTTTTAGTTCAGACCCCAGCCAATCATCATCTATCCATACATCCTTCATGTCAACATGCTGCTGCCCAAATCGCTTGGACTTGGCTTCAAAGAGATCCGCCAAGTTGTCATAGAAGCTGTTGCCTGCCTTGCGCATGATAGAGGGAATGCAGAATGGACAAAGCATGAAAAACGGGGACTTTTGCGAAATGAGTTAATGAGTTGCAGAGTACAGAAAATCATTCTGCCGCCAACAATCAGGCTAGTGCTAATCGGGTCACTTTTTTCCCAACGTTTTTCTCTTCGTTTCTTCGTTTTTCCGTGACCTCCACGCATTGAAAGAAGATGTCCGGGCCCTGGGAGGTGCCCTGCACGTGGGGATGTCGAGGGTTCATGGCCAGGTCGTGGTGCTCTTTCACGGCATCCCAGTTGATGAACCTCGGCAGAAATGGGGAATGCCTGGCCATGGCTGGAAAAATCAGAAGTGAAATCCAAAGTTCAATCCAACTTGAGGGACGACATGAAATATATGAAATGTGATGAATGCATCTCTATCTCCAATACTTTGTTGTGCAAAACAGAATTCAACCTGGCAAGCTCAACTAGCATCAAATTGCCAGCAGGTGACAGCAAGGCTTCAAACTGCTTGCCACCACAAAAACTGAATAGTCTTGAATCACCGCCATCTTGCAGATGGAAGACAAACCCTGCGCTTACCCAACCTTCAAATTGGCTATGGGTCAAGACTCAGATAACCTGCTGTTCCTCCAGAAATAGCTGGAATTTATGGATGTTCATCCCCCTCTTTTCATTTGATCCGTACCCACTTGGAAACTTCACCATCATGGTCTCCTCGACATCCAAGTGACTGCTTCATGGTGTTGTAGTCGATAAGTTTCACCTTATTCACCTGGCCACTCAATGAGAGCTGCTCACGTCACTGAAATGTATAGTCACTACTCTTTCCACCCAGGTTCAGATTGAAAAATGTATGTTGTTTTGGTCGACTTATGTCAACTTCATCTTCACCTGTACAATGAGACAAAGGTTGTTGCATGTTGTACCACATCCACCCTGTCCCACAAAGCTGCTAGCTCCCGGTGACGCCTCATGACTGGTGCGGAAGCCGTCAAAGAAATGCTGCACGGGCACACGACGTTCCATGGAGACCAGGTGTGCTACCAGTGCATTGTACTGGACCATCTCAACTGATTCAGAAGCCAACATGCACCTGGGAGAAGCATCTGATGACAGAGAAGGAATTCAACGGCCACCCACCGTGACCAGGGAGAAGACTCCTATTTCTGTGTTTAGTTTCCATCTTTTCCGAAGCAACCGGAACTTTGACAAGGCACCAGCCCGTTGAACGGCATGCCATCACATCTTGATGATCTCCGAAGATGGACAAAGCTTGTCCAGCAAGTGCACGTGCAGCCACGTGCATCACCTTTGGTGAATGACGACGAGCTCAAGATTTCAATTGCACCGATTGCCCCCAAGCTGCAAGGTGCTAAGTTCCAAACGCAGGGCAACAACTCACCGGCAATCTTGTACATATTGGGGATCATGAGGAGCAATCCCTGACCTGGGTCTGTGCTGTAAACGACAGCATCTCATACTGCCCCAAGGCAACAAGAAGCTTTGGATCACAGGAAGCTTCCTACAAGCTCAGAAAGCTTCGAGATTGTGACCTTCAAAAGCGCCATTTCTGTACCCAAGCTCACCTGCTGCCAAGGCACTAGCTGTGAAGGTGGTAGAAAAGGCCCCAGCTTTCAGTGCTCCATGCAGCGCCCCAGCAGCACCAGCTTCGCTCTGCATCTCGGTGACACTCAGCTTTTGACCGTAGCAGTTGATGAGGCCTGGCTTAAACTGGAAAGCAAACGCTGGGACAATGAGATTTCAATGGGATTTAATGGGAATATCTATAGATATGGGTATGGGCATGGGTCAATACCTATTGGGGGGATGGACATCCACAAATGAACAGCAGGGTACCAGGATTTTGATGCATAGCCACACCAGGAAGCTCGAAGTTCGTAACAAAATCGGGTAAACGTCAAAACCCAAATCGTAGCCTGTAGTTCAGCCCATGAAATTGTTTGTGTCTATGGATGTTCCCCCCCATATGGTATATGTTCTTGATATGTTTTTCCCCCATCCCCACCCACGAAACTGGCAATGCAGTGCATCATAGCCTTGGGCTGACCACTCGTCCACCATTTCACCCATGGGCGAGCTGGGCGTGATGGGGTAAATAAAGGCGCAATCGCTGAGGGCGTAGGCCACATGCGCTGCTGCCTGCCGCTCTCATCCAACACGTTGGTGAAGAGATCATGTGTTTCTTTTAGTGACCTTTGGCAGTAGCATCTTTTATCTACCCTGACATACTCTAACTACCAGTTTGACAATGATATTTATCTTATCACTGGTCACCTCTTCTTTATTTTTTTTTCTTGAATATATTGTTCCAAGCCACTCACCAAAAAGATTGACACTAGAACTGCGCCTGGTTCCCATCAATGCAAGCAATGGAACCTTCCGTGCATTGAATAACGTCAGTATCAGCACACCTTAGGCAGCCACAGAAGTTGGATCTGTGAAACCCTTGCTGGAACCCCACCATGCTACCCGGCTCAATCGCTAGGCTGGACGTATTTGGATCTACTCATTTGGGGGGTTCCATATGACCCATGTTATCAAAAATGATTACAAACCTCTTATTTTCAAGAATTTTGAATACAGTCCAATTACCCTCCTGTAAACTAACAGTTCGATGTGGAAAATCCATCTGCAGATCATTTTCCTAAGGAAACCAGCCGGGTTTTCCAGATTTTTTTCTATGTTTAAACCCAGCCGGGTCAGTCGTCCCCTGCGTACAGTCGACTGGTGGACGATGGTCTTGTTCTCTGCTGCGAACATGGCTCGCTGCACCTGGAGTGGAAAAAAAAAACATGGATCCCATAGCTGGGAATAATCCAGGTGAAACCTTATCATAGTATGGTTTTTAGCCACTTACTGGGATGCACCCCAAGTATCCAGCTGAAAAAACTACACTCTCAATCTTACCTAACTGATAATGCAAAATCCTCGATATCCTCGATAGATTGTTTTGATTTGTTCTGCCTGGAGAAGGATTCCATGGATTTTCAGCACGATTTTCTATTTCCATTGATTGCGAGCACCAAACGCTTAGCACAAAAATCGACCCCAGCCTCTTTCGCCTTCAAAAACTGCTCGTACTCCACATCTGCGGCACCACTGCCTGCACCAAGAGCCTCCAAACGCTCCTGGTTCTCAGACTGACGGTCCGGATTCAGGAACCCTGCCAATAAGCCACCATAGGGTCCAAACGGAGTCGTCCTTGGAAAAGCAATGACAAACTTAGAATCGTCATTATATCCAGGAAGACTAGTAGATTAGTATTCAACAGTGTTGAATATTGATGTGAAATCGGATTTGGATGTATGTTGCAAGGCAACTGCCAGGAGAAGCAATCCGCCGAATTTTGAAGAAATGTCACCTCTCTGTGTAAAAAAAGGGGGTGTTTTTGCTAAGGTGACCACTGCCCGCGGAGCGCCATTGAAACACACCACACCGGAGTTTTCGCCGGGATGGACGAAGCTGAGGAAATCGCCAGTTGAGACCGCTAGTTTGCAAAAGGCTTCGGCACCACTGACAGATCATCAACCAGCAAAGTTGAACGTTTGAAGAATCACTTGAAATATCAATGTTATATATATATATATTTATACATCTATATATATATATATATACATCTATATATATTTATATATATATATATATATATATATATACATTCCTTAAAGGTTGGGGAATAAGTTCACAAGGTTAGCCACTAACCCTCAAGTCTGCCGATGCGCTCATTCTTTTTCCATTCACCTTTCTCTTGAGTTGTCCAACCTGTTTTCCTACAGGATAATGCATTGGGTATGCCTACAGATCTATCAGCCCTGCTGATGGTGGCATCCTGTTCCAGTCAGGTTAAGATATCCTGGATCCATTCCAGATATCTATTCACACCCGTACTGGGACAGCAACCCCTCCAATCCGTAGGTATTCACAGCTTCCTGTGCATGTACCCCATCTGCAACGCAGACTTCAAGTTATGAGGTGACCCCACAGGGGACCTAATAACAGGGCGGGTAAAAATCCCTGATTTAGGGAGGGCAAGGAAAACAACGCTGCTATTTTGGATCAATATTTACTTGAGCCAAAATTGGCATTGATTTCGACTTATTAAATCAACCACCAAGGAATGACCACTGTCCACCCAAGCCTGCCAAACACTAGACAGTCATAGACAGTCATACATTCCTTAAAGGTTGGGGAATAAGTTCACAAGGTTAGCCACTAACCCTCAAGTCTGCCGATGCGCTCATTCTTTTTCCATTCACCTTTCTCTTGAGTTGTCCAACCTGTTTTCCTACAGGATAATGCATTGGGTATGCCTACAGATCTATCAGCCCTGCTGATGGTGGCATCCTGTTCCAGTCAGGTTAAGATATCCTGGATCCATTCCAGATATCGATTCACACCCAACGCACTTACTCCCAATGCATTTACAAAAACAATTCCGTCGGATGAGGGCTGCTGTGGGAAAACGCCGGAGGCTGGCTGGAAAAAGGAGCTATGGATCGTTCCCCCCCAATCCGTTTAGCCTGTGATTGGGTTTCCCTGGTCCGTCCAGGAGTGCCTCACTATTACCCTGCCGTTATCTCGGCTTGGGTCCCCCTGGTTAACCCCAGGCTTGTCCCGTAAGACGATCTCATATCTTCTCATGGCTTACTTTGAAGCTGCATGGAAGGCTTCCAAGGAAAAAGGAAAAATGATCAGCCCGTGATTGGGTTTCCCTGGCCCGTCCAGGCGTGCCCCTCTATTGCCCTGCCGTTATCTCGGCTTGCGTCCCCCCTGGTTAACCCCAGGCTCGTCCCGTAAGACGATCTCATATCTTCTCATGGCTTACTTTGGGCACTCCAAAGCTGCATGGAAGGTTTCCAAGGAAAAGGAAAAATGATCAACCCGTGATTGGGTTTCCCTGGCCTGTCCAGGAGTGCCCCTCTATTGCCCTGCCGTTATCTCGGCTTGGGTCTCCCCGGGTTAACCCCAGGCTCGTCCCGTAAGACGATCTCATATCTTCTCATGGCTTACTTGGGCACTCCAAAGCTGCATGGAAGGTTTCCAAGGAAAAAGGAAAATTGTGGGTTTCCCTGGCCCGTCCAGGAGTGCCCCACTATTACCCTGCCGTTATCTCGGCTTGGGTCCCCCTGGTTAACCCCACCAGGCTCGTCCCGTAAAACGATCTCATATCTTCTCATGGCTTACTTTGGGCACGCCAAAGCTGCATGGAAGGTTTCCAAGGAAAAAGGGGAAATGATCAGCCTGTGATTGGGTTTGCCTGGCCCGCCCAGCAGTCCGCACTATTACCCTGCCGTTATCTCGGCTTGGGTTCCTCCTGGTCAACCCCAGGCTCGTCCCGTAAGACAATCTCATATCATCTCATGGCTTGCTTTGGGCACTCCAAAGCTGCATGGAAAGTTTCCAAGGAAAAAGGAAAAATGATCAGCCTGTGATTGGGTTTCCCTGGCCCGTCCAGGAGTGCCCCACTATTACCCTGCCGTCAGCTCGGCTTGGGTCTCCCCTGGTTAACCCCAGGCTCGTCCCGTAAGACGATGTCATAAATTTCCAAGGAAAAAGGAAAAATGATCAGCCTGTGAATGGGTTTCCCTGGCCCGTCCAGGAGTGCCCCACTATTACCCTGCCGTTATCTCGGCTTGGGTCCCCCTGGTTAACCCCACCAGGCTCGTCCCGTAAAACGATCTCATATCTTCTCATGGCTTACTTTGGGCACTCCAAAGCTGCATGGAAGGTTTCCAAGGAAAAGGAAAATGATCAGCCCCTATTTCCCTGCCGTTATCTCGGCTTGGGTCCCCCTGGTTAACCCCAGGCTCGTCCCGTAAGACAATCTCATGTCTTCTCATGGCTTACTTTGGGCACTCCAAAGCTGCATGGAAGGTTTCCAAGGAAAAAGAAACATGAATGGTCTACCCAGGGTTGTTCATCCAGACGATATGGATTGCCCGGCCTCCGTTGTAGGTATTGAGTAACCCCCCTCGTCTGTGGAACGTGAAAAAGGTGGTGTAAAAATAACAATTTTCCTCACGGAGTTATCTCGTCGCGGTGATCCAGGTCAACTCCCCGGTTCCAGCCTGCAGACGATCTGATACCCTCTCACAGCCTGCTTCGGTCTGCTCCAGGCCTCCCTGGTTGTCCCGGATTCATCCGTGCAGACGATATTGAACCTCTCAATGCCTTGCCTTGGACACCACGGCGACCTCTACGCACCCACGAGGCACGGAGGTGGAAAAAAAAATCGTCTTGTTAGCGTCACAAAATTCAAGAAGGAGATATTGGACAAAGACCATCCTTATAAGAATCTTAGTCAGCCAGGGAATGGAAAACCCAAAAAAAATATTTTGTCGTTGGAACCTTCCTATATTCATCGTTTGATTTATCCTGGGATTTATCCTCTGTTTTTTGCCTTCCTAAATTCATCATTGGATTCATCCTGGGATTTATCACCTGCGTTTTGGATTCCTAACTTCATCTTTGGATTTTGTCCTGGGATTTATCCTCTACTGTTTGCCATCCTAAAGTCCTAGGATTTCTTCCAGGGCTGTTGCCCCTGCCGCCGACCCCAGGAAACCAGGGATACGTAAAGGCATGGCATAGATAGACAGTCCATCAAAACATCTACAGCGAGGTCTAATCAAACCTAATCCATTCGAAGTTTTTTTTTGCAAGCCTACATTTAACATAGTAACCTTCCTGAATCCATCCTGGGATTTGTCATTGTTTTTTGCCAAAGGTTTCTGTTTGCTCTCCTACAAGTCGCGGGTCTTAATCTCGATGTCATCTTGGTCCAAAGAAGCTGTTTAATCTCTATGTCATACGAGTGAACTTAGCGACAATATCTATGTCACATCATGTCCCTCCAATTCCAGCGGAGAGTATCCGATAAACTCATAAACCCATGTTCCAAAAGGATTCAAGCCACATGGATGGCTGACTTTTTGATTAGCTAGGGTGATTTGTGGACACTTGTAGGATCAGGGTGGTATCTAGGATGATTTTGGGTTGCCTTTCTGGGACATGTTGATTTTGAACCACCCTGGAGCCAGCCCATCCTTACCCTAGTAGAGAGGCCCAGTATTGATCACGGCCTTCTCCGAAAACACGTGACCCTCCACCCCCATCACCGCCAGCTGATTGAATCCTATCTATCCCCGTGTCTACCGCAAAACTGCAGTATTGAAATTGACTATTCCCCCAAAGCTGCTGACAACCATGGACGAAGATATTGCTGCACCATAGGGGGCCAACGACTACCGAGAGCTGCCAGGCTTTTACTGTTCGGGCGGAATCACTGCGAAATTGACCTCAAAGGATCTTTTTATGAACTTGTCCGACGCCTGGGATTACTGTTTGCGCCCGACTTAGTACCCCTCCCAACCATCGATGAGTTCCGCGCGCAGCTAGCCCGAGACCCCAATATTCAAAAAGTAGAAGCAATCTGCCCTGACACCATCAAGCAACTTCCACTGAGAATTATCAATAGCTCCCTTGATGCTACATACCGATATCTAAGCTCTCTGGTTGATGACTCCCCCAGTGCGAGTGTAAGCGCAATCCTCTGCCAACTAGGGTCTTTGAGTACAACCCTGACTACTCAGTTGCTACCGCGTTTCCGCCCAGAGTTCCTGGTCAACCATAACGACAGCGCCTTTCGATTGCTAGAGTACTTTGAAGCCACAATTGTCGAGGACACCATTCGTGCACTCATTGCTCGCCACCCAACACAATCCCTGGTATGGCTGCATGATGGTTTCTTAGTTGCTCCCCCGCCTCCTGAACAAATGGTAAGGCAGATCGAGAAGGAAGTTCTGTCCAAGCATCAGCTTTACTTTGGTCAGACATGGTTCAAAGTCACCTCTCTTCGCACGGCGCACAAGGCATACGTAGACACCCTCAAACATACTGCCAGTAGCCATGCCCTATCCCGCCCGTCGAGCACCCCCACAGTTCCCAACGTAAACAGCGCAGTGTTCAAGGATCGCCACACATCTGCGCCACCCCCTTGGAAGCCCTTGCCAAGCTGCGTGCTCGCGAACGTTCGACGGGAGGGAGTTAAAACGTCCGCCCGGACTCGGTTGCTGCCTCGGTGACCACAAAACAACTGTTTCTCGGTTGCTCACCTATCAGGGACTAATGTAACCCCTAATAGTGAGCTTCAGGATTTACTCCATCATAGTCACCCAGAAGTATAAAGCTACAACCCACCAAGTTGACGTGATCTTGCAGAAGGTGACCCAACCCCAAGGCAAACGGCCTGCCACTGCCCAGGCAGCTTCAGGCTGCTGCAGCGTAGTTATTGCTGTTTGAGACCTCCTGTGACCGCCAAGTAACTCTCATCAGCTCACTACCTTATTTGTACCCACCCCCTGCCATTTAGTTCTTATGCCTCATGAACATTGGTCAGGCCAAGTGGGGGGGGCTCCCAGGGGTACCCTGGGTAGCCCTCCCCACCCGCACAAGACCCATGAGGACATCTTAATCCTGAACCACTTGC